GGGGGGACGCAACGGACATTGGTCCTCACAGACAGTCAGACTCGCACGGCCCCGACACAGAAAGGTACCAATTTCACCCCCGCCATGGCTGTCTTAACCCTCTGCTTCCATTTGTTGGTAGACTCTTCTGGAATATTCCGGTGCTTCTGGGGGGGGGGAACAAGAGAGCACCACGGGTGAGGCGAGACCGCGCCCAGGCCCCCGCCTCCCATCCAGCTGCTGGGCGTCGCAAACCAGGGACAGCTGGCAGGGACCCCGTCCTAACGGGAGGCTGTGACTCGGGGGCCGGCAAGGTCGCGGACCAAGACCCCCCACGGAGGCCCCGCGGGCTCCGAGATGCCCGGCTCCCGCGCCGGCCGCGTCACCCGCACGGCTCGCCGATGCAGACGCCGAGGGTGCTGAGCACCTGGTGCCAACAAGGAGGCCACCGGGAGCCGCGAGTTAATGTGCCGATTCATGGTTTTTTCCTAAACGAATCTGGTGCCACAGCTGGGGGGAAATTAGGACCAGAAAGGAGTCACTGGGAGCCAGTGAAATAGAGAAAATAGGGTGTGGCCCCCAGAGGCCCAGGGGGCCTGGGGTCCCGTCACAGCCACAANCCAAAATCTATTCAGTGAATGGAGCTCCTGAGGGCTCGACAAAACTCACTGATGCAACCGATGGGGCCACCAGGACATCAAGGGCCAGTTCGCTCCCTGCCCACCATCCCGCCTGGGCTGGGGAGTGACATGCGCCCACGTCCCTTTCCCTGCAGCTACAGGGGGCACAGGAAATGGTCTGACCAGTGAGACACAAGCAGAGGTTGCGGGCAGGTCTCTGGAAAGCTCCTTCCCCTTGGCCCTAACCCTGCCCCCTGCCTGGAGAGCAGAGGCGATGTTGGCGGTGGAGCAGCCCCGTTGTGACTGAGAGGAGGCACAGGGTGGGTGAGGCGGTCACTGAAGCCAGTGTCCTGTGGCTTTGTGGAGCTGCCAGCCCAGCCCTACGCTGCCCACTGCCTCACTCCTTATGTGAGGAACTTAAAGCTCCCCAAAAGGCCGTCCAAGGAAGTGACATGTAGCCAAGGGCTCCTTGCTGGGGTGCAGAAGGGCCCAGCCAGCCTCCCTGCCTCCTGCCACCTCCTCGCGGGTCCTTCTGCAAGGTCACTGCCGCTACTCTGCCCGGCGCCTCGGTCTCCTGCTTCCCGCACCCCCTCCCCTGCGAGGTGAGCCCTGGGGAGGCTCTGGGGCGGGACCATGCCACCCTCAGGTTATCCCAGCACCGAGCCCAGAGCCTGTTCAGAGGGGACACTCGTGTGCCTTTGGGGCATGTGCTCCTGGGCCTTCTCAGTTTCAACTTAAATAATGTCTGTGAAATCTGGTTGGAATTGCGAGTTATATGAACGTGCCACCGTCACAATGAAAGGTGGGCATCGGGGGCCCCGGGAAATCATCTCACCGACCCCAGGGCATGTGGAGCCCCCCTGGGGACCACTGGGGAACTCTGGCTCCTTCCCATTCCAGGGGCGCCATCCCACGAGAGGACACCTGCCGCGGTGACGGCCGATCCCGGTGCAGGGAGAGGCTCCCTGAGGTCCTCCCGCCTCCACCTTCTGGAACTTACCATGAAGATGATGGACACCAAGTTGGTGAAGTAGGCTGGGAACCGGTCTCTCCAGGTCAGCTTCACCTTGTCGGTCTACAACATGGAACAGCGCTGGTCACTGTGGGAGCCGTCATGGTGGGGAGGTGTGTGTGTGTGTGTGTGCATGTGTGCGTGTGCATTTGCACACGTGTATGTGCTGTGTGCGTGCATGTGCGCTGTGCATGTGTCCACGTGTGTGCTGTGCATGTGTTGTGCATGTGTGTGTGCGAGTGTATGCGTGTTGTGCATGTGTGTGTGCATGCCCGTGTGCGTTGTGCATGTGTGTATATGTATGGTGCATGTGTGTGCGTGCGAGTGTATGCATGTTGTGCATGTGTGTGCGCTTAGANTGTATATGTATGGTGCGTGTGCGTGTATATGTATGGTGCATGTGTGTGCGTGCGAGTGTATGCGTGTTGTGCATGTGTGTGCGCTTAGGTGCACACAAACTCAGACAACAGAAATACTTGGAAACACCTTAAAAAACCACATCTGCAAGTGATGCGCGGATGCAAACATCTAGTGTTCACAGAAACAGCGGGGGTCTCATGACCTAGGAAATGATGTCCTGTCACAACAGGAGCCACAGTCCTTTAAAATGGGCCCCTTCTAGTAATAGTAGTAATAATAATAATATAATAACAACATCGTCAAACACTTTTCCAAGTCAGGCAGAGCCCCGTCGGGGGACGCCGCGGGGGCGCCCAC